TGTTTCATGCTAATTAAATATTAGAAACAAATATTTGAAAAATAATATTTAAGAAAGACTTGCTTTTGGTCTGAAATATTTAGCAAACATATAAATATTTCCTAATTATGTATGTAATATTTTGTGCTATCTGGGATACCCACGGACCGCTTTAATCAAAAGCTACCTAATGTAGACTATCGATCTATACTGTATAACAGATGTGCTAAATCCCCTATTATTTCCACCGCAAAGCATTTTGTAACTTACATTTGCAACGTGTAGTGGTAGTTTACATGCACACATTTCGCAAGCCTGAGAAGTCAATCAATCAGAATTCATAATCACTGACCAACCAGGCAATTGATCAAGTTTCTTAATTAATTCGTCACCATTAGGTATTTTCTGTTTTTGGCGTCAAATATGTATTCTACCCAAACATGCCAGAGTCAACAGTTAATTGAAATGATGCAAAACTTTATTATATTTGCACATGGTTTCATTTACTATTATTAGTTCAAAATTCTGTTATCAACGCTGTTAATAAACCAAACCTGTTTAATTGTCTGTATCTGAGTGCTATTTGCCATAGCATTAATTCGTTTTTAAATAAAACTCAGTTTGAAAATTTTGCTTTACGGTGTCAGTATTTATATTGCAATTAATTTATTTTACATTTATCAGAAAGAGCAAGTACAAGGCAATTTACATATTGCCAACTAAACCAAGTATCACACCTGTCTGGGCTTAGGTCACATAATTCAACTAAATATGTATGTATGTGTGTAGGTCTGCCATGTCTGCATTGGATTTATATATCATTTCACCTTATTTACGTAGGTAAATGTTCGAACCCATTATTACTGAATGAACCTACGGCAGCTGGTCGAAACCCACAAATGCTCCCATTACAAACGCCAAAAGATTTTGTAACGTTTCTTTTATACCAACTAATCACTGCCAGTTTTTTTTGTGTTTGTTTGTCTGCTCCTAGGGAGGGTGTGGAAAACCCCACATATATCAAAGTGTTTCGAATCAATTTTGCAAATTTGTCATCTCCGGGTCCTCTTTGAAGCGTCTCTTTTATGTTGTTTGTAATAAAAATCCTGAGTTATGTCTTGAGCCAGGCTTTTGTTTAGGCATGACCTTTACACGCTCTGTTCGGTTTATATAGGATATTTTTAGAAAAATTTGGATTTGACTGCATTTTAAGCATTCAGCAAATGGAGTTAGTGCCTAGAAAAAATCTGTGTTGGTTCATAAACGCGAAAAAAGTGTGCTTAACTTAACATTTGAAGCAAAAACTGCGTGCTGTTGGGTTTTAGCATTAACGCAATTCTTGCGATTTCCTAAAGTTCGAACTTGAAAATTATGAATTCATTCATATAATAAGTTGAATAATTTCTTCTAAGACAATTAGCGCTAAATACTGTACATTTTTTAAATTTTTTTGCTGCCAATAAATTTTATTTTGACTTGATTTACGTTAACCAAAGCAAAAACTGGAAAAAATATTTTGCTGTGTTAGTTTGCTAAGTACAAATGCTTCAATTGTAGCATTTTTTAGATAGGCCACAAATTTGGTTTATTTATAAGGAGAAACCTGGTAATTTAATGCGATTTGGGTATAATACGTTTACAGGCTGTACTGGAAAGTGTTGGAGAGTTTTCGGGCTCACATACAGGGTGCCGAAACAACATCAACTCATTTAAAAAATGTACAGCCCATCTTTACCAAGATAGAGATTCCTAAAAGACGCCCTTGAAAATCGGTTCATATTAAATAACTTTTAATTAGAGTTTTAACATTTCGTCTTAATTTGTTAGGAGTTCAATTGTACCGATCGAATATTACAATTCGAATAATATTTTCGATACCTTGAAAGTTGAAGCAGGGACTTTTGTTCGACATAAAATGAACCA